TACAAAAAATACGCAAAACAGTAGAGAATTTGATATTCCGAGGGTAAACATTACCTTAGATTTTTTTCAACCAGAAGCATGCGGTTGCCTACAAGATCGAGGCCAAGTAAGCCAACAGTCAATTTTGTGAAAAACATAATGTACAAACAACTTATTGGTTATATATTTTCGCAGAATTTTTAAAATAGTCTTTTTTGAAAACGATTTCCGGACTGGATTTTATACTTCTATAATTGGCATAAAGTTTGAATATGTTCGTTGGCAATAATTATGCTGTTTAGAAGTTGCGACTACTTCGTGTGGTTTAAAAAACTAATTTAATTTCAGTTCTCACATAATATTCTCCATAATATAATATTATTAATAATTTAAGTACAATAGAGTTTTAATGATCACAGTTAAGTTTTATATAATTTATCATACAAAAAAAAATAATTAAAAATTTTCATAAATAAAAAAACTTCAAATCTTTCAGATTTAAGCAACTGATAAGATGTAAACACATTAGGAATAATAAACAAAAACATTAATACAGGTTATAACACTAAAACGAAGAACAATACTTGATGCTCCACATATATATTATCCTCATTATTATGTCTTAATATCCTATTTGCATTAAAAGATTTTTAACGGTGTATGTCGCCAGTTAATTATCACAGGAGCCAGTATTATCCCGACCCCTGGCCGAAAACAAAAGTTTAACGTAGTAGTATACAATCCAAATGGATCTGTGGCTTAAACTAAAATGCGACTGGTGTATCAGATCAACCTATGGATAAGCAATACGGCCAGAGATAAGACCTTGCGTCTCCCTGTTACTCAATCAATTGATCCCCACCGGAGCGGAATACGGCCCCGCACGTAGATAGATAAGTTACATAAGTTCTTTTTGTATTTAAATTTTGAATTCACTCCTGGAATATGAAAATATGAAGCTAGGAATTGGTTCACATCTAAACAACTGCATTTACAGATAAATGTGTCCTTGAATGAAATACCCGTACTTTGGAAAAAATTAAAAAATTACCTCATGTTTATACAGTTAATAAGTTTTATAGCCATTACTGTAAACATTATCTACTTAGTAGTTAAAAGGTAATAAATGAATGTTGAATGTACAATGACTAATTACTTCGCTATTTATATTTATGCAATTAATTACCTGTTTTTTTGAAACTAAAAGCTAGTTTTCGTAACTCATTTGATACGTTAATGTGTTATTAAACAAGAATCATGTACGTAAGTTGCCAAAATGATATTGTGTAAAAGATATTGTTTTGATTTTCGAATAGCACAATTCCAAGGCTATTCTGGACATACTTAATATTATCGATGTTAAAACACAGTTGAATTTATTGAAAATAATTTCGGAATGATAAAAAGGTTGCTGGTGTGAGCACATATTCATAAATATTAGGGAAATAAGTCTCCTAATCACAATCCATTATAGGTTTTATTAAAGTTAGTAAAAGAGATTGGGCTATCGGTTTCGCTCTTTACAAACTTTTACATCTTCAGGCCCTCAAGAAACTAAGGCTAAAATACATGGTGGTGTATATAAACAAATGTAGATCTGACAAAACAAACAAAAAATTAATTGAGTAGTACAGAGGACTTAATCAATAGTCAGTCAATCAATTGTATGAGTCATTTTTAATAAAACAAAATAATATAAGATAAATGAATGACAATACTTGCGTATTAGTACATATAGGCTAATTTATTTAGAGCCGCCGTAAATAAAGTTATAATTGCCAATATGATCGTCAACGTTCGATAATCGGACAGGGTACTGAAAGAAGAAGAAGAAATTGGTACATATCAAAAACATATATTCAACGATGTCATAGCCCTTAATAGCTTTACCACAAACAGCGATCATTGAATAGTAAGAGCCAAACTAAAATTAGACTTAATACAAGAAAGATCCAAAATGATTAGGAAGAAAGCCAACCTGATATGGAAGGACCCAACGAATTTAAATGAATACCAAGACAATATCAATAAAATCCTACAACAAAATGAATGCATAAATAATGTAAATACAATAAACGAAAATATCGTAGAAGCTATTCGAAAGGCTCAAGTAAAACGCTGCCCTAAAAGACGCCAAAACGAAAAAATAACCATTGACACAAAGCAACTAATGGAAACAAAGGAAACGAAAGCATTAACGAAGAAAAACTACGAAAAATAAATAAAGAAGTATCAAAAGCTATAAGTAAATATTTAAGAAAATTTAAGAATGAAAAGGTCCACCGAACTATAGAAAAGAATAAAAATCTGAAAGTCCTGAGAGGACGGCTAAACAATGGAAAATGTGAAATACACAAACTAAAGAACAAAGAATGAGTCCCCGTATCAAATAGAGAACTACTACACATAGTTAAATACTTCTATCAAGAATTATACGTAAGTCAAAGAGAAGACAAAACAAACTTGGAAGCCGCCGCATCACGCAAAATCATCAACCAGGATTCAGAGCTCATGCCAGAGACCACACTAAGCGAAATCCAAGACGCAATGAAAAAGATTATGAATATAAAAAAGAGAGAAACTTTAATACTTAGGCCACCTGATGAGAGGACAAAACTACACGTTCCTACAAAATATAATGCAAGGAAAGATCCAAGGACGCAGAAATCCAGGCCGTAGAAGAATGTCCTGGATGAGAAATTTAAGAGAGTGGATTTGGCTGTACCACTAAACGAATTATTCAAAACAGCAGTTAATAAAAATTAGAATCGCCATAATGATAATCCAAATCTCCGATAGGAGAGGCAAGATAACTGCTCTCAACAATAGTAGAATAGACTACTGGCTTACAAAGTTAGTACAAACATTGTACCAAAACGCCACAATGCGTGTAAAACTACATGATACCACCAGAGAAATTCATATAAAGCGAGGTGTGACAGGACGACACTCTCTCACCTAAATTATTTATAAAGGTCCTCGAATACGTCTTTAAAATGCTAAAGTAGGAAAATAGAGTAATAAAAATAGCCGGGGAAATGCTATTTTTATTCCTCTATTTTCCCAAATAAATCAATTAAAAATACCATTAAACATTTTCAAACTTCAGGATGTGTAAACAGTTGCAAAAAGGTGTCATGAAGTTAATGATCCACGTGTTAGACCTGTCGATGAGGAGTGTCAAAACAGGGATATTGATATTTGTGCTTTTGTGGAAGCTAGTGGAAGTGGAAGCTTTATGGTGTTAAGACATGGCCTCTTCAACAGAGGAATATTAAAAATCTTTTTAGGACGCAGAAATCCATGCCGTAGAAGAATGTCCTGGATGAGAAATTTAAGAGAGTGGTTTGGCTGTACTACTAACGAATTATTCAAAACAGCAGTTAATAAAATTAGAATCGCCGTAATGATATTAAATCTCCGATAGGAGAGGCAGTCAAAGAAGAAGAAGGAAGCTAGTGAACCCTGCAATAGTGTACAAATTGCTAGAGAAGTTAACGTGAATGCTCGAACTGTCCCGCGAGTTCTCAAAAGGAATGGGTATCACTGTTTTAAGATATAACCAACACAAGAACTGTTTCTGGAAGATAACTTTAGGAGGATGGAGTTTTGTGAATTTATGTTAGGTAAACAGAATGAAAATGTACACTTTAAAAAAAATATTTTATTTTTTGACGAATTTTCATTTTTATTATATAAAAAACACAATCCATCCGTTGCAAGGTATTATTCTCGGAAAAATAAGCACCTCAGTGTTGCAGTGCGAATGCAGCATCCGCAAAAGTTAAATGTTTGAACTGGGATGTTGGGCGACCATATAGTCGGTCCATTTTTTATCGATGGAAACCTAAACGGGCCCAAATATTTACAACTTTTACAGAATGAAATTATTCCGGCAGTTCGACGCCTTCCCGTTAATTTCAGGAAGTTTATTTCCAACAGGATGGGTGTTCGGCTCACAACTCTAGATCAAACGTTTCCTAATTGACTGATAAGTACACGTGGTACAATTAAATGGTCCGCTAGATCCTGTGACTTATCGCCTAACGATTCCTTTTTTGGGGTTTTCTCAAAGAAAACATTTATAGATATCAGTTTGAAAGGGCCACAAACCTAGTCGAATTAAGGACAACAATACTTCATTTCTTTCCAAGCATTACACCATCCCTACTCAAAAATATGAGGAGAAATCTGTATGACAGATTTTGTTACTGTTTAGCACCAGGAGGTGGAATATTTGAGCCCTTAATTCATTAATCTGCTTTCCTAAATTTATTTTTTGTTAGGTACATTTTACAAAATTTGTAGGTTCTTAATTAAGTAGTATTTTTTATGTTTAAGTTTGGAAGAATTTTATTGTTTTTTTTTAAAGGACAAACGATTCTTATTCTGATATTTTTTCTTCTTTCTTGTCTTATTGTTGTAAGCTTTATCCATAAAATTTGTACAATTTTCAGTGACAATAAAACATATTACATACTTATTTACTTACTTACTTTTGTATTGCTATTAAGGCTAAAAAATATCCAAAAAAAACGAGCTTTAGAGCATTATAATAAATAGACTCTGGAGATGGGATTGCAATAAATCTTAATAACTATGGTCAACAAAACAATGTCGTTATCTCTATATAAAAATTATATAATTATATTGTTATGTATAACATACCCCTAACTACGACCCTGTATGTTAGAGAAACTCGTGAAGCCTCTGATGAAAAAAGCAGGCCTTCTAGTATTTTAATAATTACATTTCATTCACATTATATTAGCCCGCGGAAGCAGCCTTAGATTAAAATTAGTATTGGCAATTTTACGTATTAGTGCGAATTGTTTTGTAAGCAATAATTATTAACTTAATAATGAGTCATTGTGATATTTGTAATTAAGTTTTTGAGTTAAATGAAGTTAGTTAAACCACTTTGTACTTCACTTAATCTCTGAACGCAGAAGGAAACATAATATGTAGAAATATGAGTTAATTCCATGAATTTCAATAATAAACATTTCTCCTCTTTTTAGATAAAGGCGATCCTGAAAATTGGAAATCCCCAGGCATCCGAGCCAAAGCAGTTTTTGACTTCATAGCCACGGCTCCGAATGAATTGACTGTACAAACGAACGATATGGTCCTACTGGCCCCAACATATATCCAAGAAGAGATGAATCTCAAAAATTCCGGATGGGCCTTTGCCGTATGTAAAGCCAAGTCGGGCTTAGTGCCACTTAATTACCTCGTGATAAGCAAGAATAGACCTATTTTACATACGAAAACCGAAGATCCTCCTATACCAAGGGTGTTTCCTAAAACCCATCAAAAGAGGGTTAGTTTTGGAGAAAACCAGGTAAGTTTGCTAATGTCATTTATATTAATTTAATCATTACAGTTAATTTATATACACTGCTCATCAGTACAAATAGACTTACTAAAAACAGAGAAATTACAACGTTTACAGCAACTCTAGAAGGCGATAAGAAAATTTGTGTACTCTAGGAAACACGTTCCAGAACTCATTGTTTACTTATCGGAAAGTGATTATTTTGAACTGCTTTAAATGGTATAATTTTCTTATTTCATGGTATGAAGAGCATTTCGTAATATTAGACAGCGACTATTAAAAACATTCGATTTGAACATCGTTCGAGCACAGTAATTTAACTGGATGTGACGAAAAAATTTAATATTGTCTTACTGGATCTGAATGAAAAGGAGGACCGGGTTAACGACACACGTTCTCATTGGACTTAAAGCAGTGGAGTGAGAAAACAACAATAGAACTCTTCAGCTGCAGACAGAGTAAAATGGGCCTTGATGATCGCTAATGTCCTTTAAGGATGGGCCCACGAAGAAGAAGAAGACTGGATCTTATCACCGGTGAACCCGGTATCAACTTCAAAGCAAAAACAACTGCCAGAGAATGTTACGTTTCCCATTATTGGTGCATTGTAGCGACTAATTTCGTTATGACAACTTTTTCTTGTGATAATCGAGATAGGGACGCGAGTGTTAGGAAAAACTATGAGGATAGGAAATGGTCAGCACAGTATGCTTATTGGTCGCTGTAGACTTAAGCGGCATTTATATCTGCCTATATTGGCGGATGACCTAAGAAGCAGATGTGATAAGGAGACGGAAACCTACTCACATGGCCTCTGGGAATGCCCGACATTAGCTTATCAGAGGTGGTAGATCTGGGTTCAACCTTTATGTAGCCAGCTAAATGAAGGAGTTACTATTAGTACTAGTAATAGTTACCTATTAACCAAATTCAAAAAAACCTATGTATTAATTTCAAAGAATCTTTTCCTTCTTCGTTTCCTTCGAAAAAAAGAATGCATAAGACTAAGGGAAGAATGATATATATTGAAAACAAATTAAATAGTATTCTTCCTTGCAGTTCCGAGTTATCGCATAGAGAAATTTATTAAGCGACATGCTGACCACAGGTTGAGATTTTGTCCACATCTAAAAAATTATATTTGTCCCAAGCCTGCCAATAGGAGTTTTCACTTCAAAATGATATTAATTTCGGTATCTTTGCTCTTATTTTATTTTATTACTATTTTGTATTTACCTTCTCTGACTTGTTTACTTGTTTGATGTACTTTTGTTAACTACTGAACATAAAAATTGCTGCTTGATTTGAAATTTTCATCGGATTGATTTTCGATCGATTTTAAATAAAAAAGTTCTCTTATCAGTTTTTTTTTATTTACAGATATTCGAAAACGTAGACTTGGATGACTACGTATTGAAAAAAGAAACCGAACCAAGTCAGTCTAGTCAAGAGACAGTGAAGCCGGAACCAGTTAAAACGGAAAATTTAAATACAGAAGACAAAGAGAAGACTTAAATCAAGAACTGATTAGTAATTTGGGTATTACTTACGTTTTTATAATATTTTATACGCAAATAATGGTAACGGTGTCCGGATTCGCCTTAATATTTAATACACCTCCTCTTTAGTTAGACCTATGCCAATTTATAAATTAATATTACTTAAAATGCTGATTAATAAATAGCATACAATGCCAAGTTTTTAATAAATATTATTGTAATGCGTATAGTTAATCTAACGAAGTATATTTAGTGGGAAGACTAAATGAGCTTTTACTTAAATAAAGAGATTCTAGTTATACAACCAACTTTATATAAAATTATCTTTTTTTGAATAAGCTATAAAATAATATTACAATAGTTCTTGGTAAATTGCTCTAATTAAAATTTTGAACACGACTAAAACATTTCTGACAAATAACCGAATTCTTCTGACTGCGCCTATTAGGTTAGATAAGAGTTTTGTCATATGAAAATTGCATTTTTATATAAAATGTAAATTGCATTCATATGTACATTTCTTGTTATTTTTCTGTCTTTCGTGCATGTACCTACAAATCACGTACCAAAGGTAATTTTCTATAAAGATAAGTATTAATCGCACATTTTATGTATCCAGTGAATCATTCATTATACGTGAAGGCATCACTGTCTTATACGATATACTTGGTACAATATTTTTTGCTGTCGAATCAGTTAAAAACGTATTTATCAAACGTTCTGAACGTAGTGATGAGATTGTAGGTATAAGCAAATTTAAACAAATATTAAGTTAAGGAACTGAACGTAAGATTATGTTTATCAAAGGCAGTTTAATTTTATTCATATTTATTAATACGAATCAAATATTTTAGATCAAGAACTATGTGTGTAACTTACAGTAATCTACCTTATCCTGATTGATCGTTTTTGATTTGAATATATCCGGTTTTGCAATATAGGAATTTGGGTTGCAATATAGGTTTATGTTGTTTCATCCTAGATCTAAATCGTTCTTACATATGTTTTTATGTTTTTGTAGACTTTGAATCGATATGAAAATGCTGTCAATGATCGCTGATTTTGCTAATCATTTTCTGATCTAGTTTTCTTTAGGTGAGCCCACTATTTACCCTCGCTCTTGAAAATTATAACTGAGTCTATCTGAATATTCTCTTAATCAATTACTATGAAACATTTTAAGTTAAACAGCTCTTTGACGTCTAGAAAACGCTCAATAGTTGATTCTTACTAAATTGTTTTTCTTCTTCTGAATTACGGAATTTTAAATGAAAATGTTAATATGAAAAGTTTGCTATACTCTTGTTAGTTTTGTCATATGACTTGCCGACCCTATTTAGGTCCCATATTGTCTATATAGAGGTAAAACTCACTAACTGCAAAGTAAGTACAACAGACATATTCAACAGTTTGTTCGTTTTCCACAAGTGTCTGAAAACAATGATATTTTCAGAACTGTGGAGGGTAAGTTTGTAATATACTTTAACAGAATAGATCCAATCCAAACAAATGTTTAATTTATATCTCTTACTGGGTCAGAGTCTTGAATGTGTTGTTTTGCTGAGGTTTGATTATGTAAGTTGTGTTTTTTTGTAGTGTGGATTAACAAACTAATATTTCTGACAGAAATATTTAAAATTCATTGTTCCCGATAAGGGAGTGGCTTGTGCTTCACACAAGATTCATGAAGAATTATTCGACCCAAAAACCCTATATACAAATATTTTTCCATTTATGATTGTTCAAATGATAGGTTAAGTGAGATTAGGTATTAATACTCTGTTATATAGATATAATATATTTAAATGTATTGTAACTGTTCTTTATCTTAATATTTGATTCTCAAGAAATTCATTTTACAGTTTATTTTTAAATTAATATTTGTATTTAAATAATAACATCACAAATAACTGCATTTCCCATGTGTGGTACATTTTCTCTATAAAACTAATCACGTGCGCAATTTTTTTCAACCCAGTATAGTTTTTTACTGTTTATACGTTTTTTATTCATTTTGTTTCTATTTGTATAAAAAGACCTCGGTCTTAGTTTCGATGTTAGAAATAATTGTATTATGTAGTGTACATTTTTTACTGTTTTTCAGAAAGGGTTGACTTTTAAATAAATACATCGATTGTTATTTTAATGTGTTTTATTTTTTTATGAAATTAATATACCTACCCTTAAAATATATAGGAGGAATTATTACCTACAGTAGACTCTCTCTTAACCGGTCCCGCATTAGCAATCCACTCCCCCTTCCTATTGTTTTACGAACAAAACGATCATGAATTGAATTGAATTCGTCTTGTGCGAAAATTGTAACGAAGACACAATTTGGCGCAGATCTCAAACATGCCAAAATTGTAACGAAATATTTTACCTATCACATAGAGTATTACTAATAGGGGGTTGAAAATTGAGGCACGCAGGGTTTATTTGGAGTAGCTGGGTCGTGGATAAGTGAATGGCAAGGGGGTTGGGTTGGGGCAACTAAAAAAATGAAGCAAAAAGAGGGTACTATATATTTCGGGTTTTTGACCTGTACGAATAGGAAACATTGAAATTATTAGTTGGTGTTATAACATATACGAGGGAATTTCAATATATACCAAAGAATTTGGAAATGCTACAAAATGAGTGAGAAGCGTAAACATGTGGTTGTGACGATGGAGAAATGTCTCAAGTGTGCTTAAACGGACCGACAAAGGTGAATCGGTAAATAAAATTTGTTCAGAGTTGAATGTGGGGAAAAGTACAGTGAATGACTGGCGAAGAAAAAATCAGAAATCAGATAAAAATCTAAAAACAAGATGCACTAAAAAAACGAAATTCGAGATAATAGATGAAGCTCTTTGGCTGTGATTCCTTCAAGAACGGCGAAGAGGCACACCTATTAGCGGCCCGATTCTAAGGGAAAAGGCCTTATGTATAAACATCAAAATTATAGACGGAGGCGAATTTGTTGCAAGTGGAAGGTTGGCTGACTCTCTGGAAGGCACGTCACGTAGTTAATTATGCACACGTAAGTGGAGAAAAAATGTACGCGGACGCTTCAGGTGCAAATAGGGATCGTAAGTCCATGTTTCCTTGTATTTCCCTATATTTTTTTGTGTTCCGCAGACTTCATGAAAATTTGGATGATAATGAGTATAACCCATAAAATAAAATCCTTTTTAGGTGGCATTAAATCTTCAAAAAATCCTTGTTAATATAACTATGTTTTATTACGTTAATTTAAAAGCATTCGTTCACCAAAGTACTGCTATCAAAATGACGGATTATAGAGAAACATTATTACAAGCACCCCTTTTTTAATTACCAATACAATTTGGGTCTGACAATGAATGAACGGTGTACTAGATAATAATATTGTATAAAATGTAGTAATCTGGAATGATTGATCGGACTTATCATCTGTATAAAGAAATTTATTATTATGAGATTGATATCTAAAAAAAGCATCTCGAAAGAAAAGAATAAATTAATAAACACTTAAGTTTCACCTCATTTTATGTTTGTTTAAAACCAAGAAAAATGTAAAATATCATGTCCTATTATAAATTTAGTAACAGAATATTACCTAGTTGCATTGCCGGATTAAGGGGGGCTATGGGACTATTATTAACCCCCGGCGCTACGTCGTCCCCTTAACGTTTTAATTCTATATGTGGATATTTCAAATTTAAGGGGTTGATTTTCTGAAATAGCATGGTATTAAAACTTCACCTCGTCTCGTCACACAAACATGTTTCTGGGAAATCGGCCAGCACCACTGCGTCTGGCGGCAGCGTGTCCGGCTCCAACACACTATGTCATCAGTCGTGTTAGCGCAGTTTTCGAGACTAAGTAGTGTCAAATTTTACTTATTTTTTAGTGAAGTGTTTTAGTTTTAGTCAAGTTAATAAAATAATATATAAACTACCAACAGTAATTAGTTTTTGTATATTATTATTAACTTTCTCCAGCTCATTATTACTTACCATACTCTATTTCCATACCTTACTTTCAATTATTATATTTTGGATACAAATTTTAACTTTTTTCCTGTTTTTTTTTCATTTTTTTCCAAAATGTGTAATGTTCACTTGGATCTCTTTGATTTATCTATATCATTATTGATACACTGAAGCAAAATTAACTTGGCATCATCACTTTATAAATTCAACTTTTTCTGGGGACTTGCAAATACACATCTTACACACAAGCTTTGCAAATAAATAAACAGTTAATATGAAGAATTACCTTAGGGTTAAAGTTAGAAAGAATCCAAACCTGAACTTCCTTGAAGAAAAAAGTGTGATGACTGCTGTCTGTTTTATTTTTAACTAGTTAATGGCATCACTAATTGTTGAAAAATAGCTCTTAGTGAAAATTTCACATTCACTTCCTGAATAATGTTGGTTTTAAGAGTCTACATAGTGATGTGTTTTTATATCTTAAGAAAATAAAATGGCCTTTAATTTTATAGCATTTTAAAAGTTATATGTTTATGATATTTATTTTTAGATATCGAAATTATAAAATTTCTTCTTCTAAAAGTTCTTTTTTTAGAAATATTTTTGTTACTAAACAAAACTTCGAAATATAGTTTTAATAAGAAATTGTTTGACTACATGATATTTTTACACTGAGCCACATTATCACAATAAAAGTATTGAAAACATTTTTAGGATTATTTGGGAAAATATGTTTTAGGAATCTCTTTTTATTTATACAACCAACAGTGTTCTACATTAAATGTAGAAAACAAGTAGCACATACAATTTCCACTGCATTAAGATACTAAGACTCTATTAATTGGCTATATTTTTATTGATTTAATTCTTAATTAAGTCAGATGAATAACCATTGCTGTTTTCATCAAATTCGTAACATTACTGCTGTCACTAATTATTTATTTAATAACGAATGGTGCTTTTGTTAATGGTTGTTTTAAAATAAATAAGAATTTGTTTTTTAAGTTTTTTTTAAATAAGTATGGCATTTATAGCATTGAGAGGGTAAAAATTTACATAAATTTGAGTAATGTCAATATTGTCAATAGCTTTCATAAACCGTTTTGAATGTAAACAGAGAAACTGCTTTAGTTCAACTGGAATTTAACAGATTGTATTACGGGTAGTAAATCTAATTAAGATTGGATGTTGTGAGATAACTACACTGTTGCTATACCATAACATACTGTAATATATACTTAAACGAAGTTAAAATTTCTGTAGTCAATTGACAACACAGTGACTGAAAGGGTTAATTAGGCAACTAAAATCAGATAAAGTGACAAGAAAAACAAAATGCCAAATAATTATAACCCTAAAAAGTCTGGTCACTTGGACACTCTCTAGAATTGAGTAAAGATTATTAGCCGCTTTTGGAAGAAAAATCTTATGGCACATTTACAAAATACAAAGGCTCAAAAGAAAATAGAATTTGGAGAAAAAAATACAACCAAATATACCAGGATCCTGATATCATAGCATTCATTAAAATCGGATGGCTGGAAGGGATGAAGGAAAGTGAAATACTTAACAGAATAAGCAGTGCCAGTAGGAAAAGAGGAATACCAAAGCTGACAAACATAGACCAAATAGAAAATTATTTAACAATCTTAAAAAAAATTGAAGAAAAAAAAAGAAGAAACAGATCAGAATAGAGAAGAATCATAGACTAGGCCAAGACCTACAAAGGGTTGTTGAGTCAGTGATGATAATAATGATGATGGTTTATGCATTTATAACAAAAGTTTAATCAAGCTATACTATTTCTATTAGGAAGTATATTAAAGGTCACAAACATGTTTTTAAAGGTTTGTTGTATGCAAAAATAGAAGAAGACAATATTTTATGAAATATAATTTTATGGCATTAATTAGCTTACAGTTCTAAATACTTTCAATTATGGCAATGACAGTAGAAATGTATTTAAACTAATTTGTGATTCTCTCACTTGGCTTTCAAATATTTTTACCTACAAATGATATTATCCAGAAAATACTATGTCAAGCAACTATATTGCTATATTTTACTCGGCATACTTTAAAAAACTGATAAAATGAATATATATTATAAATATTACTATGTAAACAATGGCCTATTGACTGGAGTAAAAAAGTGGAAATTAATAGGAAAAAGCCTTAACTCATTGGGAGTTGGAGAAAAACTCCAGTTTTAATAACACCAAAGTATTTACATTAAATAATATGGGCATAAAAGAAGGAAATAAATTTATTATTATAATGCACTATTTTACTCAAAGTTCTATGACAAAATTAAATTTATACTGGAGCCTTGTGTACTAAGTTAAACCAGTGTCCACATTCACATCTCTTAGGCTCCCCCTTGTGCAGCCACATCCAATTTATACTTGTAGACTCCTCTTCACATACACAGCCTACTAGACGAGCATCGAAGGCTGATGGAATTTCGTTTGGTTGAGCTTTGGAGCCAGGTCCTCTTTTGATTACTTTAATGTCGAAGGGATTATCATTTCCTGCTACTTTAGCTAACAGTTCACGTTTTTCTAATCCAGTAGCATGTTCTAGAGGGTCTCCCATTGTAACTAAAATAGAAAAGAGGTTAGGTTACCTCATTCTTTTAATATCAGTATTTTATAATCATTCACCAAAATATATCAAATATGATTAGGATATTGAAAATTATGTATTCTGAAGTATTATTTACAAACCGTTTAAACATTTTCACTTGGTTTTTCCGATAATTACGTAATGTCAACCTGAGATGAAGGGTCGGGCAAGATCAATTTCGAAGGCAAAGAATTTTGAATGATACTCACCTTTAGAGGCCATTCTATAGCTGGTTGATAGAACATGATTTCTTGCTGTAGATGTAACGATTCTTCTACACAGTGAAGCCATTTTTTGGCTCTTAATAAAAGGAATAATATACGCCAAAGTAACTTTTCGTTTCGATCTTAGCTTCGAGGTGTTAACACCAGGTTGCACTAGTGTCAACGTCAAAAGGGTTTCTTTTAGGCATATTTAGGTAAAAGATATCATGACGTTGAAGATATCAAAATGTTTTAATTTTTTTAAATACTTAACGTCAGTCAATCTGAATTCTGATCTAAAAACTAATTTAAGAGTCAGCTCAACAAATAATTATTGATGATATAAGAAAAATCACTATAATTATTTTTGCGAAGGATTATTGCTTTTTACAAAAAATAAAGAATGCAATAATACAATAATGTTAACTTGATAGTTTTTGAGTTTATGATAATGAACGAATTAGTATTATGTTACAATAATCTTTATTAATAATGAAAAAAAAACACAATTTTTAAGTTGGAAAAATTGGTAAATAGCAGAATCTGGTCACAACTTTAGCTATGAAAAAGTACATTCATCAAATGAATTTTGCGAAGCACTTGTATGAATAATATACTCTAATATTATTTGCAAATTTTGACGATACCTACAGGAAAATGTAGTCCATTATTGACTACACTTGGCCGTGGAATAAATTACATGACAAGATAGTAGTGAAATAGGCTCTATTTTAAATCACTTCCTACCCTGGTAACTAACTTTTTATATTTTGTTACACTGTGGCGGTCAAAGCAGAAACCAAGTAGTTGCAGAAATCTTATTATATTCCTTATAATATGGACTGAGTCGACATTTTAAAAAATGCTAGAAGTTCAAAGCGAAGCAAAAGTAAATTTGCTCACATTTAATGACTTTTATGATTCGAATGATTTAGATGTCATTTATATTAAAAATTGCAACAAAGATGAAAGTCGTAAAGCTGTCTTATGGCTTAAAATAATAAGCATGGAATTACAGATACTATCATATATCTGATTATAAAAAGATTAATATCGCTGAAAATGTACGTCCAAGAACTAGTGTTGAGTTGAAACTAACTTTATTTATTACCTTTTTCTGAACAGAAAAAGGCTGATTTTGTCGAACTAGCAATGCATGACATATTCCATAAGATTGTGGCACAAAAATGTACCAACAAAAAGTCGCTCACTGATGAACGCTTATAATAAATAAGTGCTCTTGTCATAATATAGGGTCGCCATAAAATAAATATATGGGTTATATGCGGTAAATAATCTATATTGCCCGTCCTGCTACAGATCACCGGATAATAAATATCTTTATTGACGAAGACATAGGGTTAACACTTAGTAGTTAGATGACGTTGTAACGAGATGTACTGTAATTCGCATATTTTAATGATTGCTACACTAACTATCTCAACATTATCAACTCCTCTAATTTCATTGTTTACTCTTTTTATAATTATCTTTGCCTTTGACGATATCAGCCAGCTTAGTTGTATACATGTAAGAAAGGACACGCTTAGATTATTTCATCCAGCAAAATTATTTGCAAGTATGCAAACTCAGGTATTTTGTTAAACTTGACACACGATGTGTGTCCCCGATTCTAATAAAAAAAAACAACGTAATGTAAAATATTATTTATAAATAATATCACACATATTATGATAAAGATGGATAATTCATGACATTTTTCTATTACATATAAATGTGTACTAAAAAAAAACAATAAAAGTAAAATTATTTATATGGGTTTCTTTGATAATATTACGCGAGGTAAAATTAACTAATCCTATTTTTCCCAAGAACGCTACAGCTCAAATCGAGCCTTGGCCTCCTCCAACCTTGCCGGTCTCGCACCGATCCTCTCCAGGTTTTCACGTCTAACAAATTTTACGCGTCCGCTGCCACCTTTTGGTCTTACGCCCTGCATTTTGCTATCTAAGGCTCTTTTTGGCAATCTCCATTTTCACGACATGACCAGCCCATCGAAGCCTCTGAAGTATAATGAATTCTGAGAATGGTACCTCTAAATTCATGGTTGTACCTGGATCTCCATATTCCGTTTTCGTTAATAGGTCCAAATATCTTCCTTAGCGACTTTTCTTTCAAAGACTTCCAGCTTTCGTGTTATGCCCTCTGTCATCAACCCACGTCTCACATCCATAACATATTATTGATCTGATAAGTTTTGTAGACAATGATTTTTGATCTAGTTTGTATTTTTGGAGCGGAAGACATGGGCGAGTGAAAAGTAAGCTTTTGTTTCCGTTCCGTTTTTAATGTAACTCTCATATATGTGAAACTTTCTACAGTCTCAATATCGCCCTTTAATTCAACTGTGCGTAGTTTCCCCTAGCACTTGCCTGTTAGTTTTTTGTCTTTTATTTCTAGTCCGGTTTCCTCTGCCCCGGTTTTCAATTGTGAATATATTTCTGCCACCTCTTCTGTTCTACAAGATATGATGCTAATGTCAGCGACAATCTGTATTTATTTATTTGTTAGATTAGCATAAATTACGAACATATTCATTGGTACAACCTAGTATCCCATTTGGATTATGGCTTTAAACATATTTATAAATTTGTAAAAATATTTACCACCAGATATCTGTGAAACACTATTTAATATAATGTGGATTTTATCAATATATTATGGATGGTATAATTATCTCTTGTTGAACTAGCATCGAATCTACAGAAATCAATAAATAAAATATCAAACAAGTTAAACTAATTCTGAATTAGACCTGTTTTGATTCAAATTACATAGTACAATATAATTTTTTCTGGACCTTTTCCAGAAAATCATTACAAATCATTTTCAAATGAAAAACAAAAGATTAAAATTTTCAATTATTTATTAACTGTCAATTTACAAATAGGGTTCTGGAAATTCGAAGGTTACTTCCCTGCCAGTAAGCTTCTTGTAAACTGAAGCAAAAGTATCAACCTAAAACAAAATAAATAAATTAATACACACAATGATTTGAGTACAAGTAAACAGGTTACAGATGGTGTCAAAGATTTAAAGCACATAGTTCTAATAAAATATATCAAAAGTATAATAAAATAATCTAAATGAGGGGAATATATATCAATTATTAATCTGTTAAGCTTTCAAAGGGAATGAACACCAAGAGAAGAAAATAAATAACAGGAGGAGCACATGTAACTCCTTTATTGAACTACTTATACAAATTTGATATGATCTTTTAACTCTTTTCAAAAATAGTATGCAGTATAAAGGCGATTGATTAGCTACTGATTCAATATCAAATAATTCTCAACAATTAGCATGTATACACTTCACATTGTGAGCACAGAACATACAAGGGACCAATTCTGCAGTTTATAGAAGACTTATTTAAAACCAGTTGTACCTATTGATGCATTAGCTTCTTTAATTTTGTCTATGGTTATCTATAGCCATATCTATTGTCACAATTGCATACAAAATTTCAAGTACAATAAAAAAATTAAAAACCCCTATAGACATACTAATTATTTTAGCAATTGTAAGTAGTGGGTTAAGTTTATATTTTCATAGTTGTAATTGTCTCAAAATAGCAAGATTGTTCATGACCATGCAGGGTAGCTGAATTTTCAGTAATTGCTGAAATTCACTTAGTATCAGGCTTTCTCTTATTGGGTAAGCAACACAGAAATACCACCAATCCCCCACTACTAGAGACATAATCAAAGAAAGAGGAAGAGAGGTAAGATAATAATGTAGTTTCAATATTAGCATACTACACCAGGCTTAAGTTTAGATATGCTTTTAAACTTTCCAGTTTTCTGTATTACTGTATTAAATGTTCACATTTTATCATTTTATATCTGATTAGTTAAGTATACTATCTATTTTGATTTAGTGTTTTTTGCAATCATGTTTATTAATTTAATTTTCTTTAAATAGCAACTCCCAATGTTCTGGGTAAGATTTTGGAATTTAGACCAAATGTGTGCAATTGATGTATATATCTGGATAAAGTTTGAATTTTATGTTAAGGTCCATTCGCTTATTTTGACAGATTGATAGCTGGAAACCTACCAACACAAAAGTTCCTATACTACGTTTCACGTTTAGAAAATAACATTGCGAAGATAGGGCCATGTATTTCTTATGGACGATAGCAACGCGGCGTTGCCACGACACACACAAGCACAATTTAGGGTTGTATAATTTGTATTTTCGTTTCCACAAACATGAATTAAATTAATGTTTTTTAACGTAATTGACCAAAAGTGCCCATTCGAAACAAGAGATGAAAAGTAGGGAAAATGATTTTAATTAGATAAATAGTATTTACAAAAGATAATTTTATTTTATCTTATTTTAATTATAGTAACGACAGTTTATTTGTTTTTCGGTGAGAATACGATATGCCATGAATCATATAAATCAGTAGATAATATTGACCGCTTGGAATGCGTATATCTAATTACTAATTGCAACTTAAAATAATACGATGTGTGTATGTCAGCTATTTTATGTCGTCTCTGACTACATAATGATAATAAGGCTTTTATTTAGTAGTTATTCTGACTTTACAGTTAAATATTAATTGAAAATGAAATTCAAAAATTAAGCAAAGGGAATATCTTGGACATCCGTGCAAAAGAGAGTGTCTGAGAGTTTTGGCAACACTGATCTCCATAAGCGTAATGTTATTTTCTTAACGTGAAACAAAGAATATCTCAGTTTTAACAGCTTAAATAAACTTTTATTATAGACTCTTTCATTGAAAAAGGAAGAATTATTACAAATAGTGGAAGTGTATATTAAACCCATAAAATTTTTTGTAGTATATATTTAAAAAAATATATTTCAGTTATTTAACATATTCTAGTAAATATTTGTATTAATGACACTGTTTATTTTACTGAATATAGTTCTATTGTTGATCTGTAGGACATGAATACCTAGCATAACTGAATAAATTGTTAAAAATTACTCATATTTGCTTTGTTTGTTATAGTATCATGTATTAGCTTTGCTAAATCCCCTTAGCATAGGGAAGTATACTTATTTTGTAAGATAATAACACCAAAGACGATGTTGATTCCATCCTAAACTACATTCATTTTACATATTACCAATTGTCAACAGAAGCACTTGAAAGCCAAACAGGGTCGTACTGATGTGTATCATATGATTTTTAAAAATATTTATTTTTGAAACTATAATTGTAAGAATTTCTTGAAATTTAATCATTAAATCACAATTAAACTAAACTCTAAAAAATAACAGGACCAGTAAATAAAGCTATAACATAAATATAACACACAATATGATAACTTAAAAACCAACATAATACAATTTGAGTTTAAACAGACCAGCAAGTTTGGATCTGTAATATAAGAATCTGTCTGGTTTAAGGCAATAAATTATATTTAATAGCCTCTTGACGAATGAGAGGGCAAATATCAACACATGTATTTGTTGACAGATGGGAATTTCTAAATGAATGAACTATAGTAAAACATCAACAACAATTAGGTATGCTGTAAGACTTTTTCCAATTGATTGGTGAATGCTTAATTTTGTGGAATTTATTTTCTACAATTATTATTTTGTACACTAAATAATAAGTCTATTATTTGTTATCAATACATTATATGGTGCAAATAAATAAATATTGATTGTCAGTAATTCGTAAAGTTTTATTTTATTTACATTTGTTTACTATAAACATTGGCTAGAGTATGTGTGCTTGGTTGTATAGTAATTTCCAGCCACTTCTAGTCTGTCAAAAATATCTTCACAAAAAAATAATTATTCACTAGACAGTTCAGACTCAGAATAGCCAACTAACTATAATATCTGAAGTCATTAGTTCAAATTTTGTATTATGTTAACACTTTCGCAGAAATTTATTTCAGAACTGTTTCATATGGTCATATGAGCCACCATATGGGACATATGAAAGTATGCTATGAAAATATTGAGACTTAAACAATAAATTACCTACATTTGGCACAACTCTGCAATATAAACATCTAACATAACATAAACTTTACAATAAGTGATGAGTGTGATACTTTCTAATATAATAATTAAAAATTATCCAAAGTTTAACGTATTATTTGAAGATCCTAAATATGAGGTCTGTTCCTTTGTTTTCAAGTGTACTTATTACTTTCGAGTATATGCTACATTGGCTAGTATAAAAAAAGGTAATAACCGCCACTAAGCAAAGGAATATTCTAGTGTAGTTAACCTTGGAGTTACAATTCAAGTCAGGTTATTTTACTACTTGTTTTTCTTTTTTAAATTTAAATTAAACTAAAAGGAAATTTTGTAAACAAACGCATCTGACAACTAAATAGTTGTCAAACTCCCTTGGGTGATACTACACTAGACAAGTGTAGGTAGTCACACTTTCAGAAGCAAGTGCAGATTTATCTATACCAGTATTACACTTTTTCAATGGAACAGAGTGGTGTATTACTATATTTTGCAAAGGAATGACTTACTATAGCACTTCTACACTTTTTTAGGGGAATGATTAGTTTAATGCAATGAACATAACCAAATATATTTGGTTACATTAAATGTGAGCTTAAAAAATACACAAAAATTATAAAATTGGAAGCACTGTAGTTATTTAAGTAATAAAAACTTAAAAGCCAATTTAAGGTACATCAAAATGCACCTTGATTACTAAAAATGAAATTTTAATACCAGTACAATTAATTGTAAGTGCATTTACTTAACCATCTGCCACATTCACTAATAATATTCTCATCTTACTCTCATGTGGATATTGTAAAATACAAAAAACTGCAGTACTCTAAACTACAGGTGACAGAATGTCTACATTTTTATTGAAAAAATAAAAAAAAACCAGCATTCTTACCTTATGTTCAATAGTAGTTTGTTGGTTTTTGTCCAAATGAACTTTAATGAGTTGTGATCCATCTAATCTTACACGAATCCTCTTGCCTACAATTTCTGCAGGGAATACAAGATCTTCTAAGATAGCATCATATACTGAAGTCAATGTACGAGACCTTGGTCTTTTTTGTTTGTTGGCAGCACGAGTTTTTCTTGTTGGTTTAGGTAAAATTTTTCTTTCACCTACAAATACTACGTGTTTGCCGCTGAACTTCTTTTCCAATTCACGTACTAGCCTAGTTTGAATTTTTTGGAATTGTTTCAATTTTGGCATTGGAACGTAGATAATTACGCTCTAAAACAAATAAATATAAGTTCCATTCCATATTTACATAAATATAATGTGCACATACCTTCTTATTATTTAATTCAATTTCTCTAGCTTTTGTAATATGCAATTCTCTAAGCTGAGCTTTTAAATCAGAGTTCATTTCCAGCTCAAGCAAAGATTGGGCAACTTGTGTTTCAAAGGCATCGGGCTCAGCCCCACCGGATTTGATAATTTTCGTAGCCATCTAAAAAAATTGAAATTAATTATAACCTCCAATCTCACAATTTTATAAACTATTTAACATAAAGTATCACAAATAATTGAGCACTAAAAATTATTTAACACACATTTACAAAAGAACTTAAAAAAACTTTCACTGTTTACATCCCGAAAATTATTTTTCGTGCACATAAATCTGAAAATATCTCCCACTAATATAACCCATCCAATATTTAACAGTTAAAATTTTAGTATTATAGACTTTTAGGATTATACCTAGCTAAAAATAATCGAATCACGAATTGTATTTTATATACAAAAACTTAAAATAATTTTAATAAGAGGAACGAAACGTGTACCTTGTCTACAAAATTTGAAAAGGAAGAAAAGTTAGGCACAAAACATTCTTCTTCTGAAACTTTGGTCTCTTACTGTTTAACTAAAAGCCAGCTAAATCACTCATTTGTAGACATTTAAAAAATGCCACTTGTCAATGTCATTAAATTGTCAAATAAACGTTTGGTTGACATTTAATTATATTTACATTGTTTTTATCCAACAAATAAATAAATAACAATGCCTGATTGTAGCGAGAATTTTGAAAAAGAAATATCCGATGGAAAAAATGCCAGAAGTATAAAGTGTAAATACTGCAACTCGGTTATTTTAACCCCATTATGTGCTTCTTTCTCATCTTTTGAGGTTAGAAAACTTCATTTAATTTCATCAAATTGAATACTTATCTAGTATTTTAGTTTCAGTTACCATTAATGAAACAAACTAAGAACAGCGAGGATAATCCAGAAAAAGAAACCGTGTCCCTTTTCTGGGCAGTGACAGACATGTTTACTTTTCAAAATGTTGGTTTTTCAAATACAGTGGGTACAACAAAATATCTAACATGTGCAGACTGTGAATTGGGCCCAATAGGATATCATGATTTGTCGAATAAAATGAGTTATGTTGCACTTACAAGAGTATTACATAGTTAGGTGGAGCTATTTTTTAACATCAGCAGAGATTCATATTGGGCAATCCTATTTGAGCTACCATTTTCTTTTATTTTAGGAAGTTTTATTGGGCATTATGAGTTAATGTAACTTGGGGCTGTTATAGCCAAAGTGGTATAGGTCATGTTACTGTCATTTAGGAAAAAAAGTGTGTAATTAAAAAAAACATACAATTAAAAAATTTTATTTTATTGTTAAATAAGTAGGGTTGTTGTATATAAATGTAAATTACTTTTCTTTTGTAAATATGGAAGTATATGTTATCATCAACGCCTCCAATCTTCATACATGAATAGTGGTCAAACTTCAAAGTTTCCATGAACCTAATTATTCAGATTTAATCCATCTTAGTGCCACATACTGATTGAGATATATATGCTATGAATTTCCTGTGCAAAGATTTCTGAACCTTTCTAAACTGATTTTAGAATTACATTTCAGGACACTGCCTCTTGTAGGTGTGACTAGCAATGAGTACAAAATGATGTTTTCATATAAATGTTTCTTTGTAATTAAGAGTTAATTTTTAATACAGCACATCAAATAAATTTCTAGAGTTAAAATTTATTTTTCTCTTTGTATTTATTTCACTCTTTATCATCGTTATTTGAAATTTCCTGTGAAGAATCTTCAGTTTATGTCCCAATTGTATCTTGATATGGAAGAAATAGTTAGAACAGTTAACATCAATTTGAGATTCCACATTTATTTTTTTCATTCTGACCTTTATTAAACCTATTGTAAATTTCCAATTTAGTGCATGTCTCTGTCTGTAGCATAACTAGTATATAGTATGGCAGAAACTTTAGATACAATGAGTTTAATTATGCAAAAAGTTCTCACTTATACCATTTGGCTTTGACAGCATCATTCCATAAATTGCCCAATAAACATACAAATGGTTACAACATACTAGAAATTAATTAAATATTGTTTTATTTTTTAATTAAAAATATCCAAATAACTTTCTGTGACACTAGTATAAGTGAGAAAGTGCAAATTACTTAGATTCATAATGTACTGACATGTATTCTTATATTGTAATGATATATCAGGTATATATTATTTTTAAACACAGTAAAATATGAGATATTCAAGTTTTTGTATAGTGTGTAATCAATATCCAGAAGAGTAAGCTGTACTAATGTTCCTAAACATTCTTTATTTTATTATAGCTTGTCTCAAAATATATTGTCGTGGTTTTCGCAAGTTAAGGGATTAGTGTTATTATTGCTATTGTCATCAATGGAATAACCACAGTTATTGGTTCTTAGTGAGAAAACATCAGAGGAGGGCACTAGGTAAAAATAATAATACAGCCATTTTATTTCAAGACCTTCATTTTATTGTAAAAAAGTGTTTTATTGCTTAAATTGATCACTATAGAAATCATATATAATAATGCAAACATTAATAATGCATATTTATAGCAGTTAGTGCTTTTTAATATTAAATATATTTAGCACTTCTAGTAGTCATTCTTTATTATAACTAGTTTCAAAATAAATATCATTTTTTAAGAAATACTCACAAATTTCAGTTAGTACTTGATCTGTTTGGTGCTTTTTGTAGCTGACAACTGTGGTAGCTTGCATTATCGATGACGATTACACTATTTTCAGGAATATTTTACAAAAGAGAATTGTAAAATCGATTTTCAAAAAGTTCTGCACTGGTATCTTCATGATAGTCTAAGCTAGAATCTTTGATATTCTTCACAGATAAGAGCAAACAGTTTGGAATCCACCTGTCTTTCGAACCAGTGTGAATTAATGTTATGTGTTTTCCTTTAGTTGAAGGTGGTTTCTTCAGGAAGTGTTTACTAGAATCGACCCATTCTTTGCACACTGTATCATGAGTATCAAACCATGTTTCATCCAGATATATAATATATTTGTTTTTTAATCCATACTTCCTAATTTCAGAGAGATACTCGTTTCTCCAAGTGCGCAGTCTATGTGATTCCATTACTACTGCTTTTTTGTCTATCTTAACATACTTATAACCCATTTTAGAAATGCCTGTATGGAGGGTGACTCGACCTCTATCTATATTTGTTTCTTATTTCTGTAACCTCAATTTAACTTTATCTAAAGTAGGAACTGTCTCATTTTCATAAAGGGAATATATTGTTCTTCTTATAGTATCTTCTTGAGTACTGTCTAAATGATGAGACTGAAAATCACTAGGTTTTTTTCGTCTGTCAATGGTTCTTTGGTTACAATATCCTTATGGACGATATTGGCGTTTTTGTTAAGTAAACATGTTTCTTTCACAGCATGTTGTTTGATTAGGCCTCTATATACTAAAGTATCATACACATTTTTAATGAGTTCTTTTGCATCTAATGACAAATGATTTAGATTATGTTTAATAGTCAAATGATTATTTTCCCATGTACAAAACATATTTGTTTTTGAACGAACACATTTCACTAATATACTATGCGCACAGTAGCAACTACAGATTCCTATTGACTGGTACTACCTATTCATTTTAATTCTCTCAACATTAGTTGTACCTGATTCAACCTGTGGGGCCAGGTAGAAATTTATGTTTAAATCTATTAATAATGGTAATAATACTACTAATTCTTTAATGACAGGAAAACCAAGTCAATATACTTTGGTACAAGCTATACCAGCTTTGATTCCAGAACTATTTAATTTTGAAGAAGACTGACCTGATATCCAAGAATAACTCTCAAAGCTAATCTTCTCTCATTTCTCAGAATTGGTCTAAAAGTACCCTAGTAATCTTAAAATATATAAACTGTACCACTATTATGATATTTCTTACAAAAATCGAAGTTTTTCTCGTCACTTTATTTCACTTTGAGATTTTTTGTAATTTAATAAACAAGACTGAAAGAAAAGATATAACTGATTAACATATTAACAGAAGAAATAAAATCAATGTAGATGAAAAGAAATGTTAAAACAAAAACAATTAAAAAACATCAATAAAACAAATGCACAGGGAAATAGTTGTGAGAATAAGAACAAATGCAGACCAACTGCATATTGATGACAAAAACAAAGAACAATTACTTGACATTCAAAACAAAATTTACAATGAAAATTATTAGAAGAATGAAGACCTAGAAGGAGCTAAAGAGCAATTATAAACAGAGGAATAATAGAAAAAGGTTTAATATAGAGTCAAGAGGACAACCTTTTTATATGCATCAAAAATTGTTTCCCACAAGCTCTCTACTCTACAATACTCCAGCAAATGAAAAATGAAATGAATCATACATGTCATCACTAAGTTTATTGTGTCAATTAGCTGTCGCTATTACTTTTATTATTATTATTTTTTATTTAGCATATGGCATACAAGCGAACATCTAATATATTAATATGATCTAAAACATTTTCGGTCGCATTCAGAAATTCCATCTTCATAGTTTTTCTTGCTGTTTTGTCAATATATTACCCTTCTTATCTCTTGACTTCTTTTGTTTGAATTCTTTTCTGCTTTTGTTAAGTTTCTGGTAAAATTTTCTTGTCTCTACTGGCTTACTTAGTTCTTGTAGTTCTTTGTTCATATTTTCTCTTTATTCTTTACAGAGTTATCTATATTCCTCCTCTGCTCGTCGGGTTCGGCAAACCCGTAATCTGACATTTTTCGTCAGACCAGTCATTCGTTCTTGTTCTTTGTTTACCTTCCATGCCTAAATTCTTCAGCTGCTTTTTTCATTATGTTTCTGCACCCTTCCCACTCTCTATTTATGTTTTCATGTTTTAATCTGTTTTCTAGTGTGATATTATGATATTAGAACATATTTCGTTTTTTTATGTTTAAAATTCTGACCCTTACCCCATTTTGAATCGGTAGTGATCAGAATCCGCATTTGCTCCTCTCCTGTTGTGGATGTATATTATATTCGATTAGTGTCTTGAGTCTACAATAACTTGATCTATCATATCTATATCAAGTCCGTCTGGTGATTTCCAGGTGCCTGTGTGTATATCCTTTCGAGCAAAGTTAAAATGATACAATAGATTAAAAAAAAACTACTATGAAAAAAGAAGATATTTTTGAAATCATTTCTGTTCCAAACCATACAACTTAAACGTTCACTACTTTGTATTCCAGTTTGGCGGAATTTTCAGTTTTTTATTGATGCTTGTAAAATGAAAGTACTTACTTCCTTGCTTAGTTGCATCAATCGTTGATTTAGCTGCTGATTAGCTGTCGATTCATCTGCTGTGCTTTATTTTCCGTGTAAACACATTTTAACAAAATGTCAGGACATTGATTATTTTCCGCTATTAAATCGACAAGAGAATTAAATTTTTCTCAGAAATAAACTTTAAATCTTGATAATTTCGTTGCGATCTGTTTACTGCCGAATACGTAGAATCAATTGCGGGGAGGATTGTATTTGTAACAATGTGATTCATGACTCGATATATAACTTCTTCCAAATAAACACGTTTTGGCATGTTTTTAGAAGACATTATGTACATAAAGACCAAACAAGCATCTGCGGTTGCTAGTACTCTTTCTATTGGTACACTAAATAATTGAATATCCTTCTGAAATAAAAAGAATATACTAATTTGAGCATTTTACATATTTAGGCATATAGTCTACTCCCGCTGAGTTGACAGATTATTAATATGAATGAAAACTTATTTTATATACTAGTCTAATGTATAATTACGATGCGTGATTTTGGATGACTAATTTCATTTTTTATTTGCTAGACTATAATTCCCTAGATGTTGATATACCATGGAAAAATACTGAGAAAATGCTTTGAGCAAGAGGTAATGCATTTATAAAATAATATATGTCTATTATTGTATATAGATCCTATCTCTGAGACATGCTAATCAGTTTTTAGTATATAAGGTTCTTGAACTCCTAAGTGGAGCATAGAGCTTCAGTGAAAACGCGCGATCGGGTTCTATTTTGCGCTAAGGCCTTCACCTCATTCCAAGACTTTCCTTGTTTTCTTATCTCGTCCATGATGGATCTTCTCCAAGTTTGTACTGGGCGACCTTTTTTTCGTTTTCCTTGGGGATTCCACTCTAGGGCAGTCTTTTGCAATACTGGAGTTATTTTTTCGGAGTGTGTGACCGATCCAACCCCACTTTCTGGACTTTATTTCATTTACTACCCTCTTTTGTTTGGTCAGGTGTAGTAAGTCTTCGTTTCTGATGATGTTAGGCCAGAAAATACGAACAATTATTCGTAGATATTTATTAACAAAGACCTGCAGTTTGTCTGTAAGGGTTTTTGTCGCTTTCCAGGTTTCACATCCGTAAAGTAGTACAGACATGACATTTGACTGGAATATGCGGATCTTTGTCCGCGTAGTGTATTCTCCAGACCTCCAAACAGGGTTGAGCATGCTGAAAGCTTGTTGCGCTTTTCGTATCCTCATACGAATATCGTCTTCTGTACCTCCGCTTTCTGTTATGACACTTCCAAGATACGTAAAGTTTTCCACATTTTCAATCTGCATGTTATTAATGGTGAATAGCGTGTTGTTTCTTGCATTTATTCTCATGGATTTGGTTTTACCAATATTGATTTTCAAACCTATTTTATTGGCTTCAGTGGAAAGTGTTTCCAATTGGTCAGCCACATCTTGGAACCTTTGTCCTAACAGGCAGATATCGTCGGCGTATTCTAGATCGCTTAGGCGCGTGGTTAACGTCCATTGTATCCCTCTTGTGTCAGAGTCTAGTTTGGAGAGAACATAGTCTAGAGCTATGTTAAAAAGAAACGGAGAAAGCACGCATCCCTGTCTGACTCCAGTAAGTACGTCAAATTCGTCACTGTTGATCCCAATCAGTTTTTAGTAGCTACTATAAATATACAGAGTATTTCAATTTGGTCTTGTTTAAAAATCCAATATTTAAATCTTTTTAAATTATTTTTGTTGTGTCTTTTTGTATATATTGGTTGCCTCTTTTTATGCATTTATTTTCCTTTTGCAGTCACATCCACATTTTTTTAGAAACTAATTGGTCACCACTGGCATAAACAATTGAATTATATCTCCAATAAGAAGAATTGTAATACGGAGGTTATATCTGTATATACTGATTCTGTTATTGTTGCAGCTACCACTGAATAACCAATAGAAATGTACAATCATTGTAATTGTATATAAATATATTTAGTTTTGTTTTGTTTATTTGTTATATATTTCGGTAAATTATGCTTGTGTCTTTTTTATTTACTTTACGACTTATTCAGAATCGTAAGTTGAATTCATAAAATATTAATCTTTTAAAAATAAAGATTTTTAAATATTTAAAAAAGAACCAAATGCCAAAAAAGACTGGATGACACCAGATGTTATAAAGCTCATAGAAGAAAAATGAAAATACAAATAAAGAAAAATTCAAGCAAATGAAGAAACTAGTAGAAACGTAGATCAAGGAAGCTAAAGAATGCTGAATGGAAAAAAATTGCAAAGAAATAGAAAAATTTAATATGAAACACGACACACATAACCTTCATAGGAATATAGGAAGAAGAAAAATAACAAACTTAATAGAAATACGTCCAGGACTTATTTACATATAATATGGAAGAAATAAATATGGAAGAATAAAGAATATGGAAGAAATAAATGAAACATTATCAACTGATGGAATTATACAAATTCTAGGGTAGACCGGGGGAATCCCGACATACGGAGCAATATCGTATCGTACCTATATCCACACAGTTGATTTTGGTTTTTTAGTTAAACACGTCACTGTATAGTGCTGCTACTTAGCGTGTGACACCATAATTAGCTCTCAGTTAGTTTCTGTCATCCAAGCAAACTAGTTATTTTATTTTGAATTGTTATGTGTTTTATTAGTTTTACATCTAATTATTGATTTCTCTACAAATGAAGTTAACTCTTATAACACATTATATTATTATAAAAACGCTTAGATAAATAGTAAGTGCAAATTATAAAGATAATTTTCGTATAGTTCATATTGCATTTGAACATTTAGTTGAGTATGTAGAATTGTGTAACCGCCATCTTGTCCTATAGGGGTAAAGTAATCCTTTTAAGTCCACTAGAATATTTAATATGGACGAAACCGGTATATCTACGGTCCAAAGACCTGGAAAGGTTTTAGCTACTAAGGGCCAACATGAGGTGAGCTCTGTCACAAGTTTGAAAGAGGCAGAAACATTACGATTGTCTGCACTTTGAGTGCTTCAGGTGCATACATACCTCCCATTTAAGCCCATTTACAAATGCTCCCATAATGGCTGGTCAAATAAAGACCTCTTCATGATGTAGTGGCTCAAACATTTTAAAGAAAACGTAAAACCAACAAAGGAAGATCTATCACGGGAGTCATATCTCTCTTGATAGTTATGATTATTGTAGATCTAATCATATACTTACATGTTGTCTCAATACCACCTCACACATCACATAACTACAGCCCTTGGCTTTGTCATTTTATGGCCCCCTGAAGAAATCATTTAACATACAGCGTGACAGGTTCTTGAGCGAAAACCAATTTCAGAAGATTTCTATGTATGGCATAGCATCTATATTTAATTAAGCTTACTTGAAAGTCTCAACGATGGATAAAGGAGTTTCAGGGTTTAGTGTTTCAGGGATCTTACCGTACAGCCCTGAAAAATTTACTGATATAGACTTTGTCACTGAACAAGACACTCAAACTCCAGTCATCGTTGACTCTGAAAATGTTAATGAACCAGCACTTGGTGCAACTCTTCATGAACACGTTCAGAATGTCACTGGGGAGCTTGCAAGCTCTAACGAGACTTGTATCAAAACTTGTCAGATTTTAAAACATAATCCAAGTCAACAAGTGATTTTAAGAAAATCCTTACATGAAACCGTCTATCTGGCACATGCACTCAATGAAGGCAGTAAGCAAACGGTATTTACAGTGTCACCACGCTCTGACAATGGCTCAAGGAGAAGGAGCATGGGATGATAATTAAAACTTTTATATATTATTAAATATTTATTTACATAAATATACTTACATCAAATTTAGAGTAAAAAATAATTTAAGGAAATATATCTACATATTACTTAATATATAGGGGCATAAGAGAATCTTGTAAACTAACCTAAATGCCTCTACTTACATACGTTTAATATTAATCATATATTGAGCTGGCAGATAACAAAGTTTATACAATAAAGAATAAGCAACATTTATCTCATTGTTAATATTTATCAATGATAAAGAAAATAAACGTTACTTCTTTAACTTCATATACTTACACTGGCTGAAACTCATTGAATGGCAGTATTTTATATTAACTATGGTATTAAAAAAAACTACTAGCACTGGTATCATCCAAGTGATTTTGATATAAAATATGCGGTATATATCTTAGAAATTATTTCTTCCAGATTCGCTGCGAGTAAGTGATGAAGTATTTCTCGAAAATGAGATATAATGCCAGTACCAGTAGTTAAAAATATTATAAATTGTCTGACATATACAATCTAAAATCTTATTCATTTAATTTGAAATATGATATTAGTTTAATGCTTAAATCAATGCTATGTACAGAAATTCTATCGGTGAATCTTCACTCATTAAAAAAAATAATATTATTAATGAATTATTCTGAGTTACGGAAACAATTGCAATTTTTTATGAATTTAAATATTCTAAATCTTTTTTAGGTTTAAAATATATGTAATAACCACAGAATAATAAACAATATTTTTTATTATTCTGTGTAATAACATAGACCGAACGGTTGAGTTTACCGAAAGTACATTTTGTTTATATTATGTTATAAATTCTGCAATTTTTTATTTATATTAAACAAGAATGAGTAAATTTGGAGATTAATTGCAGTTAATTATTAGAATTTTTTGGCAATTACCCTTTCTCGATGCCTTTGATATATTAGGGGATATATTTGGCAATCGTCAAATCAGCAGTTGCCAGATTGCAACAGATGTTTGAAATTAATCTCGAAAGAGACAAATTTACTCGTTATTGTTTCATATAAATGAAAAATAGTAGAATTCATAAAATAATATAATCAAAATGTACTTTCTCTCTTTATATTTGAAGACTGTCCAACCGAAATATTTTATTTCATGGTTGACATTTGCGGCTATATTCAGCTTATACTTTCGGTAAACTAAAGGTCGATTCAGACACATCAGTGCTGTCACAGTTTCGGCGCCGAATCGGTCTTGTTTGGTCACAGAACTATTAATTATCTGACAGATGGGAAACCGTTCGTCAACTGATGAATGTGAATGCTGGTGCCATATTTCTATTAAAGAATATTTTGTATGACGGATTGTTTTGTTCGGCATCAGGACTGTGACGAGACGTGACTGGTGTGTCTGAATCGACCTTAAACCGACCGAACATACCGGCCACGGGTACTGCTTGCGCTCGTCTATCTCTTTCTAGCACATTGCATCGAGAAGCTTACGTACTTCTATTTCTCCCATTTCTCCCTACTTAAAAGATATATACTGTCGTAGCTTCACTATTTGTAGGAGAGTGACTGATAAAGATGCTTCGAAGACGTAGCTGAAAAGACACTCATAGATGCATATAGAAGTAATAGAATAAGATATATAAAAGTTCGAAAACGTCAATAATTGGACATTAAAAAAAAAACAAGCGGATTGCACGAGTTAACAGAATAAAATAAGGAGAGTAGTCACTACTCAGTAGTGACATAGTGACAATGACAGTAGACTGCCGGAGTCATGACGTAGAAGCATTTATTTTTATTGACATCTGTCAGTTTCAATTTCCAAACAAACCTTGTTTAGTGTGGATAATTTTTATTTTTTTGTTTTTTTCATTTTTTTGCACAATCTTTCCGCTTTTTGTAACAACAATTTTACAAGGTTGTGTAAATAATAAAGCATGTTGTTTTATAAAAATAGCAATAAAATGCATGTATCAATAAAGTAAGGTTAGAATTTCTTTAATTGTACCTTTTAAACTATAATTCATAGAAATTTAACACCGAATTATGATGGTATTATCGTAAAAAACACTGTACTTAAGAAAAAAACAGCACAGGAAGCAAAATTTTGACTTTATAGAAATCAAAAAGTCTTGAGATTGGGCAAACCCTGGCTTTTCAACTTTTGTTTGGAAAGTGATAATAACAATATGGCTGCCGTGACGTCATACTTAGACTGTCCATTGCTCAAAAGAGTGGGGGCGATGGTCTGAATATGGAGGGGCAGGTGTATGATGATAAACCAATCAATTTGCCTATTTTTTAAGCAAAGCTTCTGTACTGGCGTTAGATTACTTTCTTCTCTATAGTAAAATGCTGAGACCACAGTGTCACAGTACTATAGTGCGATCTGGAAATCATAAAAAGTGACTTATCTTTAGTATTAGACTGCAACATATCACAGAGGCAAAATTTAAGTATTGCACTGCAAGCATTTTCTCCATTAACATTTCGTAACCTTTTTTATGTAGATATTACACTGTATTTTAAAAACATATAAATGCTTTATTAACTTAGATAGAATTTAGAATATTTAAATCCATGTGTTTCCTAATTGTCTTTATATTTCAATAATTAGTGTGATATATCTTTAATAAATACTTTCATAAATTTAGTAATACTTTTAAATACTTTAAATAAAATTCTTAAAAAGGGGGCCGTTTTAAAATTTCTAATTAATAGGCAGCCAACAAAAATAATACCTACTTTTTTAAAATTAGTCGCTGATAAAGTGGAATTTTAATTATAAAGGTACGTTTTTATCGGAGCGTCTATTGCGACAAACTGTGGAAATTTAAAATCATCTCCTAATAAATGGTTGTTTCTCAGAATTTTGAAGTATCCTTCTTCTTGCCTTCTTTTAAATATTGCATGTTTTTCTAATCTTGTTGTACTTAACATTTCTTCATCCTCTATTCTTTCTGATAGCAGGCATTTTAACAATAATTGTTCTCTTTTACACATGCTCAAAACAACTTGTTCACTAGAGAACGGACAACTCACTAATCAAATCGTCGCAGTAAAAACATTCCGCTTGCGATCATCGCTCAGCGATCATTGCCAGCGACGGTCGCTCAACCATGATCGTAACAGACGTCCCAGTAAAAACGTAACTTAACATAGCTTCTAAGATATGTACTGGGTTATAGATATTTACAACTTTTTACTGTTTGTTACAATTATTTTCCTTATTTCATTCGAACAAACCTATTTTGGTAACTCTCTCCATATGTTTTAATTATAATGAAACAAATACATTATAAATATGTCATTTTTGCGGAATAAAATAACAATTTAAAGTCAAAATTCCAATTCTGAAAAATGCTGTACCATTTTAGATAAAATCAACAACAGGGCCATGGGGAAATATAGACGAGGACGGTATAAAACACAAATATGATATAGACATAGGACATAATTATTCAACATGAAAATAATGTGTTGTACCTTGGATCCCAGGTATCCAATATAAAATTAAAAAGGCACTCTTTTTGCCACATTTACATTCATCAAAATATTGCAATTTTTTCGTATTTCACTTACACTACATATAAAACTTTCAGTTTTTCATCATTCTTAATTTTTGTGACGTGAACCACAAATAGGCACTTAGTAAACAACTGGCAGTGAGTAGAGATATTAATATTGAAGATCCATAGACAAAACTTTGTGTAGACATACATACGCCATCATGCTGAGCTATATCTACTGCTGCTGCTAAATCTTCTGGAAGGACGATCCTAGAATTAGTAATATAATCATTAGTTACGTCTTCATTACTAATTATTACTACAAATTCTTAAACTAAGTGATTATGGCATGTTATCTATTCCTGTTGTATCTTGAACATCATATTTTATAATTTTAAAAAGTGTAACTCAAAGTTAATCTAATAACATTTAAAGAATTTTTACCCATATATTTAGTGGCTTGATTTATTTAAAGTGGTTATACTTTTAGGATAGCACACTGATGATGGAAAATTAATTCCGAAAACGAATTGTTTTTATTATTATACCTTTATCAAGGAATTTTTTAAATTCAATTTTTTGATTATATTTCTAGATTTATTTTTTAATAGCATGGATAAGTAATTCAGTTAGTAGCATAGACCTTTAATTTATAATTTATAATTTTGAATAAACAAACTAGACATTTACGGTAAAAGATGAGACACACAAAGATTTGTGTAAATTACCTCTAAGAATTTGCTAAATTAAATAAAATATAATACGTACCTTAGATGTTTCGCCATTAACACAGAATCATGAAGAGTTTCATTTCCGAAAGAAATATCACGTTTTCGGCGCTTCGCAGGTTCCAATTGGGGATTTGGATCAGGGCACATTTCGCAATCAGTTTTGCAGAGTTCAATGTTACATTCTATCATAATGTCCATTATATCTGGGAACTTGAATGCGTTGAAGTAGGCATAGGCAATTATGGAGGCCCCTGAAATAAATATAAATATTATTTAAATTGGGTACTTATATAGTAGTATAGTGTGATTCTTATGAGTCCACTTTAGAGATTGAATATTTGATTGATAAAGAATCAGTCAAGGAATAATATAATAATTACAAGTATCAAATTGGATGATCATATGAGTATATGTTGAGATGATTAAGGCGTATTCCAAGTCCCTAAGTCTTGCAGCGTTGCAAGGTATGACCCATAATAGAAGCTTACGAGAGAATTGTAATTGAGGAAGCTAAAAAAAGTAAAGAGAATGATGTTCTGAATAGTAATAGAATATTGGGAACAGTAATGTGTGGATTGCCTTTATTTGTTACAGTAAGTTAGGCTAGATGAGAACGGGTAATTGATCTTGAAAGACCAGATTGTACTATTTGGTATATCTAGAAGATGTTAAGATTAGAGATGCAAAGAACACTAAAACAGGTTTGATAAGGCTACCGAATAAACTCAGAGAGAGGTTGAAATCAAACATAGTCAACCTATCCATTCTTTATTCCACAGTCTTCCCGAGAATTATATCTAGAAAATAAATACGAAACGTATGATACACTATAAAAAATAGAGGATATTATTCTTATTATTAATGTTTCTATTTATATAAAAAAATGTACCTGAATCTCCTGTATTTCTTGTTTTTTGGAAAGATCCAAATAGTTTCGGTTTTAATATGCATCCATTGTCATCAGTTAGAGCGACACTGCTAGTTCCAGACGAATCTGTAGCTTTGCAGTCTTTAACCTGAACGTCGAAACCTGGATCTCCAGAAACGGATACAACCAAAGTCATTTGTTCACCAATTTTCACTAATCCGTTAACAGGTTGACCGAATGGACCTACAAATAATAAAAAATTTGGTGTTAGTTTATTTTTTTAAAATAGACAAATATCTGTTAGTTAAAAATCTGTTTTGATCTCTGTCTTTATTCTTAAAAATATTTCACTTACCCCTTCCTAAGAGTACATCTAATTTAGCCATGGCGGTATCCCCGCTGAAAGTCACGATTTCCTGGGAGAGCATGCCGACCATAAGTGTCACACTAAGCTGCTCCTTCAAATTGCCCTCCCAAAGACAGCGAACTGATCTTACGGTATCCCAGACTTCTTGAATACCTAGTTCATTTTGAAGAACCAAAACATTTTGAAGATAACTCTGTCCTTCCGTGTCGAAAGCATTTATGAATTCAGTTCCTTAAATTAAATATATTATTAATATAAAGACAAAACGAATATTATAATTAGTTTAATATTATATATATATATATATATATATATATATATATATATATATATATATATATATATATATATATATATATATAATTTATACATAAAATATATAAAACAACAATGTAAATTCATTTTACGTTAGTTTTCGTTTTCATAAATATATTGGTTTGAATCTTATGCGACAGACTGTATTTCTTGTCTACAAAATATTAGTATTAAAGTGCCATATGGACTGGTTGTTTTATAAAAATACAGGCGACACTATTTTGGGCTTTTAGGTAAAATAGTTCGTAAACTGTGTCCAAAAATTAATCGAAAATCGTAGTTGGTCTCAAGTCACTAATCCAAGTGGGTGTGATGCTCTCTCTCTAAAACGCAGTGAACTTATTTCACTATTTCACACGATATTCAAAACCCAGTATAAATGAACAATTTAAAAAAAAACTCTTATTTCATAATAGTTGTATAATTTATTCTCTTGTTATTAAATGTGCTATATCAATCGATTACTCTTTATTCTTCTCTTAAGTACAACCTGATAAAACCAAACACATACTGAATCAATGCCTTGAGTTTTGCTAGGTTATATCAAAAGAATATCTTTTAACAGTTGCATGGTCCGAAAATATTTGTTGCTGTACTCTGAGAGGAAAGACATTTAATTCCTTAAACAATTAGTAGAGATTACGGTAAAGTTTCCATCAATCACTATATGTTCCATTGCCAAAGGTGTTTGACAATATCAAAAAAGTAGCCTTCTTCTTCTTACTAGACTATTTGCATCCACCACTGGAAAAAAGCCCCCCATAAGTTGTCCACCCTGTTCTGTTTTGCGCTACTTGATGACAGTTTTCCCCACTTTTGCTGTGATGTTGACTAGCCACCGTTTTTGTGGGATTTGTCTTCTACAACTGTGTTTTTGTGGTCTCTAATCTATACTGTTTTTAGTTCATCTTTCGTTCATTCTTTCGTCCATTGGTAACTATTTTGGTAAGCAGTTACAGAAGATATGTTCAGCCGCCTCCTCTGCAAATGTGCAGTATTCCATATTCCCCTTTTGACTTTGCTCATTTCACAGAGATGATATCTGAGTTAGCAATGTGTACTGAGTACATATGTGATTACTCTGAGTTCAGTTTTCTACAGTCCTAAGAGTTTTTTAGTAGTCTATACTAAGTTCCTCTTTCAATCTTTGGACTTCTTCTACTATGACGTTTTTTGGTATATTAAAGAAAAGACAGTTCAGCTTGGTTTCGACAATCAAGAAATCTTCGAATTTCTACTTTTTGGTTTACCAGAAATATTAGTTCTTTCTTTCATATGAAGTTACATCTAGTTTGTTGGTATAATAGAGTTTTTGGAATATATTTGATTTCACATCTCACATAAATACACATATAAATATTATGGCTATATTATAAGTTTAAAGATGGGAAACATTGTCTTTGAGATGTGTTCCGAATGTTTGTAATCAACACGACTATCCGTACTTTGCTGGCAGCCATTAGAAATAGCTATTTTAGAAATATATATTTTCTCATATTTTGAAGCCAATAAATTCTTCTTTCCCCTGATCCCCTTTTTCCTACACATTGTCCTAAAGAACTGGTTGCAACAAGCATATTGCTGCTACTTTCTCATAATATACAGCCTAAATATTATAATTTATGCACGTGGTCTTTGATTTTATGAAATATCTCGCATTTCTTCTCCATTTTACGTACAACCTCAACATAAGTCTTCTAATTCACCCATCTTAAGATGCGCTTGTAATACCACATACAGACGCCACTATTCTATACAATTAACGAAGAAGAAAATAATTTATATACTTACCACACATATTAAGGTTAACGGTGAAAGTGTATTTAGTCTGTCCAGAATTTTCGTTGACATACCGACATTCTGGCATATTGTAATAGCCCTTTGAATAGATAACGCCATTAAATTCCCTATTAAATTCAATGTTTATAGTCATCATATCTTTGGCGCATTCTACATCCAAAGCGTGAATATGTGGAGGATGCTTATCGTCTTCGTCACTTGGTATCTCTAAAAAACAATTATTAATATAATTTCTTAAAATGAGTAACTAAGTTTACCTATAATTCCAGATTCTCCATTTGGTGATGGAGTTTGGTCACTTGGTATCTCTAAAAAACAATTATTAATATAATTTCTTAAAATGAGTTACTAAGTTTACCTATAATTCCAGATTCTCCATTTGGTGATGGAGTTTGGTCACTTGGTATCTCTAAAAAACAATTATTAACATAATTTCTGAAAATGAGTAACTAAGTTTACCTATAATTCCAGATTCTCCATTTGGCGATGGAGTTTGCTCAGGGACTTCTGTAGTAGGAGCTGCTGTTGGCGAAGCAGAACTGGCCGTAGTTTGTTCAGCAGAGCTTTCACTTGTTGTTTGTTCACTTGCCGGTGGAGTTGTTGTTTCAGTTTCTTCTTCAACAGGTGCAGGCTGAGAAACACCTGGCGATGTAGGTGCAGGAACACCAGAAGATGAAGATTCTGTTGGAGGTTCAGTGGTACCAACGTACCTTGGTACTTCTGTTGAAGATGCTGTCGGTAATCCTGAGGGGGGTCCGCTAGGAAAATCTGTGCCTTCTGTTGGACGTCCTGAAGGATATCCAGTAGGATATCCGGAAGTATCTATTGGACGACCAGTTGTATATCCTGCAGTGTCAGTGGGTTTTCCTGTTGGATACCCTGAAGTATCTGTTGGACGACCTGTTGGATATCCAGAAGTATATGTTGGACCTCCTGTTGGGTAGCCTGAAGTATCTGTTGGACGTCCTGTTGGATATCCTGAATTATCAGTTGGACCGCCTGTTGGATATCCAGTAGGTTCTGTTGGACGACTTGTTGGATATCCGGTAAATTCATTGGAAGGAGTCCTGAAATCCCCTGGTCCAATTGTTTCTCCAGGTCTAAAGGTAGGAAAACTGGGGCCTGTAGGAGCACCAGAAGGATAACCAGTAGGTTCTGTTGGACGGCTTGGGTATCCAGTAAATTCATTGGAAGGAGTCCTGAAATCTCCTGGTCCAACTGTTTCTCCAGGTCTGTAGGTAGGAAAACTGGGGCCTGTAGGAGCACCAGAAGGATAACCTGTAAATCCAGAAGGAGAAGATGTTGGGAATGTCGGATAACCTGTTGGACCAGTTGGATACCTAGTCGAACCTTGGGAGCTTCCAGTGGGATATCCTGTAAATCCAGATGGTGAAGCCGTTGGATAACCTAGACATTGAAAAAATGTAATTAAAATTTGCTATTTATAACAGTCATGATATATTCACCTGGTGTTTCTTGTGAAGGTGTACCTGTGTAACCAGGAGATATACCGGGAGCTCCAGGGGTTTGCGCAGGTGTTTGTGTTTCACTGGTATAAGGCGTTCGCTCTGTTTCTGCAGTATAGCCTGGTCTTCCGGTAACTCCGTTAGAATCTGTAAATTCTCTTGGCCCATTGGTGAAGTACGTTGATGGAGGAACGTAGGTATTTTGTGGTTGATATGGAGGTCTGGTTGGAGATTGAGTAGGATAACCGGTACCTGGAATTATTTAAATAATTTTGTGCAGTAGAAAACAGATTATAATTTATGAAAAATGTGTAGGGTTTCAATCTTAGTAAAGTTTTATTTAGCACAAAGAAAAAATTATTATGTAGACCATAGAACTTTTAATGAGATTAAATGAACTGGCATGTGGGAACCACATATTATTAGGAGTAACAAAGGTGCTCTCAGAAAATAATTAGATATAGACTATAAAATATCTATAAAATAGTAAATATTGAACACAAAGTAGTAAGATCCACAAGGAAACTAAGTTCCTGTAGTTGGCTATATACCATGTATCACAAAAAATATAATAAAATCTTTTAAAAAAGGTATATATTTTAAAAAACTCAATCGGGCTATATCACAACAACAAAACGTTTTTGGAATCCATGTTCCATCATCATTTCTAGGTATACATGTTTTGAGCCACTAAATATCTGGATAAAAACCCGTTAAAAGTTATATGTTTAAATGTAGTTTACATAATTTGATCTTATATATTAAGATGTTAAAGTTACCAGTAGGTTTGGTAACATGGCAACGTACGACTCCACATGAAGTTGCTGGTTCCGAGACAAAGTGTCTACGAGGACTTGATGATAGTAACTTTCATTATAATGCTGGGCATTATGGTAAATAAAACAGGAAATAGTTTTTCAGGCAGATATACGACTATTAAATAATGGATTATATTATTATCTACCTATTAAAATTAGCCTATAACTAAATAACTAAATGACTAAAAATATTAGAAGATAGATAACCAACAGAGCTACAAGAGAAAGATTAGAGATAAGAAAGAAATGTAATCAATGTTAATGAGTCAAATTAAATGAAAGTAATAAAAACGAGGAACGAAATGGGCGAACAGTGACATAGTCACGTAGTTTTGTACTAATTAAAAAATACTTACTTCCAGGTCCAATGGAAAAGTCTTCTCCAGGAATTCCAGGAGAACCGATACCAGTAATTCCTCCAGTAGCAGGGTTGGTATAAATGTTAAAAGGTGGTTGAGGAGTAATACTTCCAGCTGGTGGGTAGCCAGAGTCTACAAAGTTTCCTTGTTCATCTATTCCAGAACCCTGATCTGGTCTTGGTTCAAATGGTCTTGGTTTTTGTGAGTTTGTTGGTGGAAGATATTCTCGTAGAGATCCTTGTCGAACTGAAAGTAAAAATCCGTAAAATAGTTTCGAAACACAATTCAGATTTCTGCTTATAATCTGAGCCTTCTAAAAATTGCAAGGCAAACAGACGTTGATAAAAGATGTTAAAAGGGACATGGGGAATCTAAAATTTGCATTCCACGACATGTCTTTTACAACTAAGCAGAAATCCTTAGCGAATTGTGCTTCTAGTACTCACACAGAGTATATCCGAAATCAAATATTTGCTGTCTTTTTCATGAAAGTAAAAAGTTTATTCTATATTATAGTATATAAAAAGGCAAGTTAACTGGTGATTGTAATCACAGATTTTTAATCTCTAAAAGTTGCAGCTAATAATTTGTAACGTGATGAAACATTAGGGCAGGACACAAGCAATACCGTAGGGTTCTATGTCATCCCTTAGTGTTAATAAATTATAAGGGGTGGTCACGGGTGTCATGACCCCCCCCAAAAAGATAAATATCAATCAAATAATCCTGAAAAAAAAATTAAAACCCATCTATTCTATAAGTAGGAAGTTAAGAGTTGAAATGATTCAAGAAAATAGGAAGAATTTGAATCCAATAATTAAATCTATCATAGGTATGCTAAAAATATTAAAAGTATTGTAAACAGCGATAGTACAAAAAAATGATGGCAATTTTAGAGCATTGCTTCGGTTTTGGATAGATGCTGGCCATAATGATCTGCGAAAACCTTTGGAAACTGCTCTGTCTAATGCTACATTAATTAGTAAAACTACTCAAAATGTATCATTTCTGCTGCAAAGAAAAATGTCTCTGCGATATCTTCATTTTCGAGAAGATTTCCATTCGAGAAGAAGACGTCGGTTCAGAAGGAGAACGCCGCTTAACTGGAGTTGCTTTAGGCCACATTGCTGAAGATTCCATAAATAATTTTAATTTAGATTTAACTTTTTGCGTAGGTTTTGGTGTCGACATTAGCTCAGTAATAGTATCCGAAACGAAAGGTGCCATTAACAAATAAAAAAAATCGCCCAAACACGCTATGCGTTGTTCATGTAGCTATTATATTTTGAATAATTCCTTGGCAAGCTCCTCAAAAGTTATATCATGTCATAATGCTTCAGGAACTATAAGAAAAGTAGTAGCTTTTGCTAATGTCTCTCACAAATGAAATGTTGTTTTTAAGAAGGAACTGGGGGCTGCTGTCCGAGGTATTTGTGAAACTCGTTGGGATGAAAGGCATGAAGGCCATCTTCAGTTCCAGGGCGAATCAATCATCAAAATATACAACGCTCTTGAAACAATTTCTAAGTGGAAGGACAGTAAAACGTCAACTGATTACTATTACGAGCCCAGAATTTCTCATTTCAGTAGTTTGTATAAGTGATGTTTTAAGTACAACTCTATAACTTGATCGTCTTCTTCAGTCAACAAAATTGGATTTGAAGAAGGCTACTGAAGCCATCGAGGTAACTAAATGCATTCTTCAAAATAAAAGATCAAATGCTGAATCTGTTTTTAACAATATTTTCTATGAAGTAAAGGAAATAGCTCAACAACTAAACATTGAATTGAAGATGTGTCGTATAGTTTCTCGTCAAAACCAACCTGCTAACTCTTGCGTTTAAGACAATATCTTAACTGCTTTAGAAGAATGACTTTCACCGGAAGTTATGAATCTATTCAATCTTCGAGTTGTTTTACCTAAAACTGATAACACACCAGAAGATAAAGTTGCATTAAAGACAATTATTGACGCCTTACAGGATATTATTGGACCATCTACTGCATATGCTACAGTAGAACAAGAGTTTTCACTGTGGATTCAAAAGTGGAAAAGAGTCGTGCAAAATAATGGAAAACTTCCCGATTCTATTGTAGAAGTATTAGAAGACTGCGATATTGATATGTATCCAAATATCAGAATGTTTCTGCAATAATTAATTATACTGCCAGTCAGTTTAGTATGAGCAGAACGTAGTTTTTCTACGAATATGCGTCTAAAGACTTGGATTAAAAATAGAACTTCGGAGGAAAGGTTAACTGGTTCACTGGTTCACACTCATCAATGTGTATTCTGAAATTTCTCTAGATGTTGATTCTATCATGGAGCGATTTACTAAATCGGATAGGCGAAAAGAATACATTTTATAAAATTATATACTATTTACTTATTTTATTCTTATAGTATTTTTAATCACTGAACTTTTATTTAGCACTCGTTGCCATGCGTGAGACAAATTTCAATACCGAGTAAAAAAATATTTCACTCACTTACAGTCTAATATGCTTTATTATAGAAATTACTATTCTCAAATTATATAATATTTTTTGTTGAACAAATTAATTTAAATAAAATGCTGTTTAAACTTCTTAAGGTTCCTTCTTAATTACGGAAGAGTGGTTACAACCGCAGCAAATTGGTCTCTATCTTAAGCTATTCTTCTTCTTCAAGTGCCATCTTCGTTCCGAAGGTTGGCGATCATCAGGGCTATACGTATTTTCGAAACTGATAACCGAAACAATTCGTTGTTGCTACAGCTATATCATTCCCGTAGATTCTTTAGCCAGGAGTTTCGTCTTCTTCCTATGGACCTTTTTCCTGCTATTTTCCCTTGCATAATTATTCGAAGCAGTTCATATCTTTCGCCTCTTCTAATGTGTCCCAACTATTGCAGTTTTCGTCTTTTGATCGTAAATATTACTTCCTTTTCTTTATTCATTCTTCTCAAGACCTCGACATTTGTGACTCTCTCGGTTTATGATATTCTCAGGATTCTGCGATACATCCACAGTTCAAATGCCTCTAATGTTTTGGTATCAATCTTTTTCAACCTCTATAACTCCATTTCGTAGAAAAGCACAGAAAGTACGTAACATCTCATCAGGCGAAGTTTCATTTCAAGGCTCAAATCTTTTCCGCAGAACACTCTCTTCATTTTAGTGAATATGGATCTGGCTTTTTCTATTCTTATTTTGATTTCTGCTGAGCTATCGTTGTATTCATTTATAAAAGTGCCTAAATATTTGTATTTGCTAACTCGATCGATAATTTCATTGTGTAAATATAAATTTTGGACATTTGTGTCGTCGGCAAATCTCAGATTGTTTAATCTAACACCATTTATTTTAATACCTACGGATTGCTCAGAGAGTGTTCTATTCATTACGTTTTCATAATAGAGAAGAGATTAAACAGGGTTGGTGACAGTATACACTCTTGTCTCACACCTCGCTTTATTTCAATTTCTTCACTGGTATTATTCTCTACTCTCACTACTGCTTTTTGATTGTAGTACATATTTGCTATTAGTCGGATGTCTCATTTATCTAAATTCTTTTCTGTCAGGAGTCTGATTAGGTGATAATGCCGCACTTTATCAAAGGCCTTGTTGTAATCTATGAAACACATGAATACATTATGATTTATGTCAAGACATCTTTGAGACATAACGTTTGGTGCAAACAACGCCTCTCTTGTTCCGAGTCCATTTCGGAATCCAAACTGGGTATTATTGATGTCCATTTCCAGTTTTCTGTGTACTCTAGAGTGTATAATTTTCAGGAATATTTTCAGTACCTGGCTCATCAGACTGATTGTACGGTAATTACTACATTGTTTGGCATTAATCTTTTTTGGTATAATAACAAAGGCGGATAAAAGAAGTTCTTGTGGTATTTTTCCTGATGTGCTTTTTTCTTAAGCTTTTATTAGTATCAAATGTGTATCCATGACTGTCCAGTCTCTTACATTCCTCATCCAGGAGCATTTTCTTCTTCCTGGACTTTTTTCCTTCTACTTTCCCTTCCATTATGGGTCGTAGAAAGTTATATTTTTCTTCTCTGTAAATATGTCCTAGATAACTCGTTTTTCTGTAGTTTACAATATTTAGGAGTTCTCTCTCAGTCCTCATTCTTCTCACCACCACGTTGTTGGTCACTTGTCAGTCCATGTAATCTTCAGCATCCTTCGAAAAACACACATTTTAAAGTCTTCTATCCGAATCATACTTGTAATTCCGAGTCCATGTTTCCACTCCGTATTGTTTACGAATTGATATCGGATGTCCAACGATAAGATAGAGTTTATTAGGAATGTTTAATACATTAATTAATGTTTACACTTACACTGGGTTATTGCACTTAAATTACTTAACTTTGGTTTATACTTATTTATCCTTGGATTCTTCTCAATTTTGTAGCCATAGGATAGGTGTATTTATATTAATTATCTTTAAAATACCTAGTTCGAATTGACAGTTCTTGATTTTTCAGTATTTATATTTTAATCTTTTCTTTGGTTTAAGACTCTTGTATACTTGATTTTACTGTCATTTAACCCTCTAGCCGGCAAGCATTCTTTAAAGAACTCGTCTTTGGAAAGCTGAAAAACCTACACCTGACTATTATTATCGTTAATACCCGTGCCGTTCCGTCCATCAACAGGTGTTTGACATTTTCTGAAAAGATTATTGCAATCCAAAATTTGGTTTGCACGCTGCTATCAGTATTGTTTGAAAAGTCAGTGTAGATGTGTTGTATCAAATATAATTTGTATTCTGAATATCCAATCGACTTGGGAATTTTTTTGGTAAGTAACATAGATGTCTTTTATCAATAAAAATTATTAGTTTTGTTACAGCAAAAAACAGTTTTGTTATCACTTTTATATATAAAAAAAAATATAATATTACTGAAACCAAATTTTTTTCCTTAATCCGGTAAGTGTTCTTTAAATAACCTTCACCCTTTTTACCTAAAAATTGATCCAATAAACTTTTTTACCAATAATTGCCTAAAGAAAAATTCCCAACTTTCCATCTCTAATATTTCAGTTTTGCCTGCTAAGGGGTTTGGTTTAAAACCACTTAATGTTATACCCTTCTTTGCACCCGTAGGATATTTGGATTTTAATAACTTCTCATTTGTTTAATAGACCGCTTAAAATAATTTTTTGAGAAAATGATTCCCTTACATGAAGCACAAATCATATCAAAATCACCCTCAAGACCCATGACCCCCCCCAACAA